CAAAGGAAAGCATTTAGAGTTATGATAAAGTACTGTTTAGTTATCTGGTCCCCTTTCCCCCCCTCAAAAAAAAAACTTCTGGGTAAGTGCTTAATGAATTACAGCTAATCTGGAATGATGTTTGCTCTTGATTAAGCCTGCTCACTCGATGGTAGTCACTAGCATCAATTAGGTAGATCTAGAAGGCTGAAAAGAAATATTGAACAATAGAACAAAAATTGTTTTCTAGAGCAGGCCACCAAAAGCAGGTTGTGTAAATGTTTAATCCCTAGTGGAACTTATTTATTCTGCACTATTTATTAGGTTGCCGAGTCATGCATTGTGGATGGGGTGTATTCATAGAAGTTTATTTTAATTTCTAAGCCTATTCCAAGACTCAAAACATCTTCAAAATAACCACAAGATCAGATGAGGCCAATTGGATTGGGGGAGGGGCAGAGCTACAAAAACTAGGTATTAACACTTCAGTTCTGTCACAGTTTTGGAGGATGGGGGGGAACTCCAAGGTCAAAAGAAAGGATCCATCTTTTTCCAGTTCTATTCCTGCTTCCCAGCTTTTGATTTCCTATTTTTAAGAACTCGTTGACAACTTTCTTCAACAGATAGATTGCTCATGAACAAGCATCTCTTCACTTCACTTCAGTTCATCCAATAGGTGTCAGGAGCTTCGCTGTTGCTACCACAAAATCCCTGAGCACGTTATAGCATAGATTCTGTAGATCTTCCAGGTAATAAGCAGTTTCAGCCTTAGGTTCCACCGAGCAATTTATCCATTAGTCGTTTCTGATGAACATTCCTGAGTTTCAGCTGTCTCTAGTTTATTGGTTGAGTTGGGTTGGGTTTTCTCATGCACCTTTGATGTTCAAATGAGAAAATAGTTTATATATTTTTTTCTTACTTCGTCATTAAAATTTCATTTCAGTGTATGCCAGTGTGTATACAGAAAAAATGACAAACATTATCTTATCTATCTTATCTTACTTATAATTTTCATTTGAATTATACTGTACAATGAAGCAGATTAGGAGGGATTTAAGAGTTAATCTCGATCCATTCCATTGAATGGGAACTGTCCGAATTTACACTTTCAAAATGAATGCACAATTGGATCACCATTGTCTTTCATTGGCTGGAAAATGTTGTCATTTAGAAAATGTGATCCTCCATCTCAAAAACTAAGGAATTGACTTCTATAAAGTTACCAGCTGATAAGGGCATGTTAATGAGGATTCCAGTTTTCAACTTGAAATGAAAGAAAGTTTATTTTTTACTAAATATTACAATATACTTCTTGGCTCAAGAATGATTCAAAAACAAAACTCATAAATTAAGTGAAAAAATAATTTTAGGATAGGCTTTTTAGGATAATATGTATTTTAAGTCATGTAGCTTAAGGTTTAAAGTGGATGTTCCATTAAAAACAATCACATGATGTTTTCACAAAAAAAGTATTTTGGCATTTAGGTTTACTATGGTATAACTTTCATAACCACACTCAACTTTAATAATGAGAAAACTGCAATTCAATATGCAAAATGAATCTATATATATAAAAGCTAAATACCACTCACACATCATCACAAAATCTCCAGAACCATAAAGCCTATAAACTTGGAATTTGGCATGTATGTTCCTCTTGGCTTCTAGGTGCTCACTAAGAAAGGATTTTTCAAAATGACCATCAGAGCATTAGTATTTCATATATTATTATTAACACACTCTGATGCTAAGGAGTTCTACTTCTCCTCCCCACCTGAAAAGAAATCTCTTACAAATGCAAAACACAAGCAGAGGAGAGGAGTTTCAATTTCACCTTCACAGCACCAAGCAGTACAGAACAGTTGAGCTAAGCCACGCCCAGGCTCCTTGCTGTCTCCTTCTTGCTCACACAGCAAATACTGTCTCAGTTTCCACAAGCCCTCAACTCTCTCACACACTGACAGGATGCTGGCCAGATGAATACCGATGGATGCTGGTAGGCAGAGGCACAAATCCCCTCCCCAGACTTATTTTCCTCCCCCAAAACTAAGCCCAATCACATAGTTTTGTAGCGAAGCACAGGTATCAAGCTAGTTAATATATAAAGGAAAGCAGGTGAAATGAAAATGAACCAGAAATAGACATCATCTTCTCCTAAAGCCAAGATATCAATTGATCAATCAATTAAGCAGAATAGAGCTGGAAAGGTCTTTTAGTCCAAACTGCTACTCCAGCAGAAGACCCTATTCCATTTCAGACAAGTGGCTGTTGTCAGGGTTCCGGCAGTTACTCCAATATAGTTGACAGCTGTCCTTCTTAAAAACCTCCAGTGATGCAGCACCCACATCTTCTGGAGTCAAGCCGTTCCACTGGTTAATTGTTCTCACTGTTAGGAAGTTTCTCCTTAATTGCAGGTTGCTTCTCTCCTTGATTCGTGTCCATTCATCAAGAGATCACCTTTGGAAAAAAATTAAAAAAATGATGTAAGCTTAAGGTTAGCAAGCCATAGTTTAATATGGAGTTGTTCCTTCTGTTATGGAGATGAACATGCAGTCCATAAAAGGCACTAATTCTTCTTTTTACAAGAAAATTCCATCCATGGAAGAATTTCATCTAGGAAGAACGTGTATAATCTTTATAACAGCTGTGGATGCTCCATCACCGGAGCCTTTTAAGAAGAGACTGGACAGTTACTTGTCTGAAATGGTATAAAGTGTCCTACTTGAGTCTCCAACATCCTTTCCCTCTCTTATTTTGTTACGTTAAGCTGCAGGTTGCTAAGTTTACGTGTGTCGCCTTGAGCTCCTGGATGAAAAGATGGAATAGGAATCAAATCAACGTAGAATTGAGGAGGTTCATTCTTCTCTCTAACATACTTGTGAAGGATATGCTTCCCTGAACCTGCGCAGACAGCCCAAGCAGGAACAAAGGCAGATAACTCTTCCTCATGTGTGGGAAATAGATCGGGTTGTCCAATACCCTTGGCGTTTTATGTAGATGGTCAGGCATATTTATTTATTCATTCATTTCAGCAAATTAAAGTAAGCTAAGTGCATTTGACCTCAGATGGCCCCGGTTTAAGTTAATTTGAGAGACAAAGCTTATAATGTTCCAGTAAAACACATCAACCAGCTTCCCAGCATAGTTGAAATTGAAATGTGATTGCTGAAACATAACCTCTCAAGCCAGATACATGAATTTTTAGGCCGGCCCAGAATAATCTCACACAAAATGTGGTCTAGGCAAGAAGCAAACATACAAAAGGACTGCACCGTGCATTAGAACTTAGATCTCTTTCTTCCTGCGTATACAATTTCTATCTAGCCAGGGACAAAGAAATGGGAGGTGGCAAAACCATTTTACTGAATGATTTTCAGGAAGAAGAAAAATTCTACAATAGTTCTCAGAGATTAAGTACGTTATTAGTAGTACATCTGGCATAGCTTTTTTTTTTTCCTCCCCAGGATTGTGAGCCAGGGAAATTTGTGTTTCTTCACAACACTTTCGGATAAGCTCAGCACAAGCCAAACCCATGCTAAATTAGTGTGGAGATGTCCATGGTGTTAATGGCCTTCATTTTCCTACAGTTTGCATTTTTGAATGTTGCATTGTGTTATTGGTTGGCTTTATTGCTCTCTATTTTGGGATTACTTCTCAGTTAGAATCATCTCGAAGGTTCTTGTAACAATAAACTAACATTGCTGCATGTGGAAAAGACCCTGATGTTGGGAAAGATTGAATGCCAAAGGAGAAGGGAATGGCAGAGGATGGGATGGTTAGATAATATCACTTGATGCTATGAACATGAATTTGGGGAAACTCTGGGAGACCGTGGACGACAGGGGAGGCTGGCATGCTGTGGTCTATGGGGTTGTGAAGAACATGACTTAGCAACTGTGTAACAACAAAGCATTATGGTGATTGTTCATCTGGAATGGTATTAGCCATTAGTAGATATATCTTCCGGTTTCCTTCTTGATTGATAGGTGTCACGGAAGGGAGGGGTGAGGATCAGGCATGGCTGCAAAGTGAGAATGTCTCTAAACCATGATATGGATACTTACTTTTGTATTTATTGATTTGTTTGTTTGTTTTGTCAAGTGATTATAAGATAACAGGTATAAGTATAAACATAGTTATGAATACATGAAATGGGTACATATAAGAAAAATAAAAAGAAACAATAGGACAGGGACGGTAGGCATGGTTGCTGCGCTTATGTACGCCCCCTACAGGCCTCTTAGGAAGGGGGTGAGGTCAATAGTAGACAGTCTAAGGTTAAAGTTTTTGGGGTTTGGAAAGAAACCACAGAGTCAGGTAGAGTATTCCAGACATTGACCACTCTGTTGCTGAAGTTGTATTTCCTGCAATCAAGTTTGTTGCGGTTAACCTTGAGTTTGTATCTATTGTTTGCTCTTGTGCTGTTATGGTTGAAGCTGAAGTATTCATTTGCAGGTAGGACATTGCAATGTATGATTTTATATACTATACTTAGATCTGACCGAAGGCGGCATAGTTCTAGGTTTTCTAGGTCTAGAATTTCAAGTCTGGTGGCATAAGGTATTCTGCAATGAGTAGAGGAGTGGAGAACTCTTCTAGTGAAATATTTCTGGACTTTCTCAAGTGTATATGTATATGGGTATGTATGTCATACCCCGAAGGAGAAGGAGATGGAAGAGGGTGAGATGATGAGATAATGTTATTGACACAATGGAGATGAATTTGGGCAAACCTGGAGAGACAGTGGAGGGCAGGGAGGTTCTATGGTCCAATGGGGGTTCATGAAGAATCAGACACAACTTAGTGAGTGAACAACAACAACTAAACCTACATGTGAAACTGAGGACCTGGGTGAAGAGGGGATAGGCAGACAGTAGTCATGTATAAACCTAGACGGAGAAGCAATGGTCAACTTAAACATAGGTGTATGAAAAACGGGGAGGCTCTATTCTACATTGTTCCTCTACAGAAGAGTAAAAAGATGTGAGCATAAACTAATCTGATCTTTGTCTGTTGCACAGGTCACAGGCCTTTTCAGTGCAGATACTGCCCCTACAGTGCCTCTCAGAAGGGAAATCTGAAGACTCACGTTCTCTGTGTCCATCGCATGCCTTTTGACAATAGCCAGTACCCAGATCGCAGGTTCAAGCGCTCCAGAGTTGACTCCGAGACTTCTGGGACTTTAGAAGAACCTTCCGCTGTCAAACCTGGCAGCTCAGCGGAGTTAACCGAGGAGGGCAGCAAGCTTCACGAATAATGCAACCGAACAACTCAAAACTGTGCACTGCAATATTACTTTAGAGTTTTACGACACGCATTGGGATCACGGAGCGTGAGCTTAAAATGGCCTTCTGTGGACAGTCCTTCCTTCCATTTGTGCAAATGCTCAGAAGCATACACAAACATACACACAAACACATCCCTGTAAGTATGTATGTACCGGGTTTGTATGTGTGGGGGAAAAAAAGCAGGATGGTGGGGGGGGGGGGAATCCATTCCTTGAAAATGGCTGTTCAACTGTTAGCTGGTGACAAATTCTTCCAAACAAGTAGGTGGCTCTTAAATCAAATGGGTCACAACCCCAAAATTGAGGACATTGCAAGATTTTTTGAAAGAAAGAAAGAAAGAAAGAAAGAAAGAAAGAAAGAAAGAAAGAAAGAAAGAAAGAAAGAAAGAAAGAAAGAAAGAAAGAAAGAAAGAAAGAAAGAAAGAGACACTTCCAATGTGAAAATGGATGGGATTTTTTTTTTCTCAGCAATAGTGCTCTTACCAGGAAGAGTAAAATGGATACCATTGGATATCGATTTCCCATTGCCTTGAAGATGGTGGGAATGTGTATGCGTGTGTGAGGGGTTGTGTTTTCAGTGCTGAAAACACCTTTTTAATATGACACCAACCACTGTCATTTGCCTCGCATAATAATGAGACGTGTGGGTTGACTGAAATGGTGCCAGGCTGACCGGAGCTGTCACTGCAGAGAAAATCAATTTGGCTGCACTACAGGAGAAATTCTAGTTTGTCCATAAGCCACGGTCAGTCCTGACCTATATTGAAAAGGATTGTGCTTTTACGTTTTAATTTTTAAAAGATACACATAGACACACACAGCCAGATCTACAGACATACCCACCGACAACCGACCAGATAAATTAGTGGAATTTATTGGGGGGGGGGGGGGGAAGTATTGTAACCAATAAGAAGCTGTTGACCTATTGTAAACTTTCTTTGGGGCTGAGGTGTGATTTCCTCCCAAACTCAAGCTGCAGTATTGATGGGTTGTTATAGAAGGATTTAGAGATGTCTATTAAAGAACATACTGGTTAGGCCAGCTAGTTAGCCTTATCTAGAGGAAAGACCAGTGCAAATAATTAGTTCTTCCATAGAAAACTTGAATGAAGTCCCACATCAGATTCATTTTCATAGAAGTTTATTTCTTCTTGTCAATAAACAACCCGGTATTTTGAGAAAGGCTTTGGGTTTTTTGCGGGGAGAAGAAAATTTTGCAGCCATTTGATTCTGAACTATGAATTTTGTCCTGGCTGAAAAGAAAAGAAAAAGAACAAAAAAGTATGGAGCAGAAGTATTTCTTGTTTTTCTAAGGGGAGGGGGGGAAAGGTATGTTCTATATTTTTGCAAATTTTAGCTTTTTCTACTAATTGGACCCTCCAAATTGAATTCTGTGGCTTCTCATCTAAGAAGCTTTGGGCGTAATTTTAATAGAAGTCTTAAATGGAAGTGGGGAAAAACAAAGGAAGGAAAGAAGAAAGAAAAAAATAAATAAGTAAGAGTTATAATTCCTTGTGGCTTTGGTTGGAATGACAAAATTATGAAGCTTTTTCAGGCAGTTCCTTTGTGAACGGTATAATTGGTGTTGTTCCTATAGACAAACAATAATACTTGTTTTCTCCTCAAAATAAAATCATTCAGGAAAGAGAGAGAGAGAGAGAGAGAGAGAGAGAGAAAGAAAGAAAGAAAGAAAGAAAGAAAGAAAGAAAGAAAGAAAGAAAGAAAGAAAGAAAGAAAGAAAGAAAGAAAAAGTTGATATATCCTTGGAGGCTAGGAGCACAGATGAAAACACGAGAGCCTTAAAAGACACTCCCCAAACAGCAAAAATGTAAATAAAATTTGTAGCAGTCCTGAGACTGAGAAAGTGAAGGGGGGAAAAAGAAGATAAGAAAGTTCTCAGGTTAATAAGGATTATCATTTGCAAATTGTTGTCAGAAAAATGAAATCAAATACAACTGACACCCATCCTACTGAAACTTCAGTTAAACTGAGGTCGCCTTGCGCAAGCTGTTTTTTTTTTTCTCATTTTGGTTTTAATTTTGATTTTCTTTTTCCTAGCCTAGTTCTCACTGCCTTACTTAAATCAAGTTGATTGACTGAATGCAACTGTTTCTTACGATCCTAAGGAAAGGATCACCGTGTAAACGGAGGACTTTCTGACTGTAGTAAGCTTTAGGGTTTTCACTGCACTACTGTGTTTGGTGACTGTGATTCGGTCACTTGCTTTCTTCATGTCTTGATGACGCCTTCAGTATCTTAGCAAGAAAAACAATAAGAGGGAATAGAATAATAATAATAATAATACAAAATATCCCACATTCCATCTTCTTGCACTTTTTTGCAGCTCCTTTCAGCATCCTTTCATGGTTTCTGAGTATTTTCAGATACGACAGGCAATAATTCTGTTTGTGACACTGGAATCTTTACTTCCTGTTCTTTGTGATGTGTGTGTTGAATCCACTTAGTCTGGTGCTACTGTCCTCATTGTTTTTTGCCTCCGACGTTCACCCATTTTTTTTCCACCCTGGAACATTTGTAACTTGAAATACAAACAAGTGACAGGAGCAGTGAAATACCATCAGCTTCTGAATATCATCACGCTTCTCATATCTAAACATGTCAAGTTTTTCCTCTGTAGCTTCTGTAGTCTGTGATATTGGTCAAAATACTGTCTACATTCCTAAGCAAAAGAAAATATATATATATATATATATATATCTATATCTTGGAGAGATTCTGAGATCAATAGAGTAGAGGGTTTTGTTGCTATGCTTGTAACAATTAGGAAAAAAAAACTTTGTATTTAAAGTTTATTCTTGGTCATTATTTATTATTATAAGACATCAGTTGACAGAACTTTATTCTGGTATAGAAGTATTAAAAGTTGTTTTCCCCTTGCCAGAAAATGACTGTTTTTATTTTATTTTCTTTCTGCTGTTAGAATAAAAATGTCTTTGAAGCAGTACAGTTTTATCCAGTGTTTTATGCAATAAAACTTCTGCCTCCGGGGAAATAAAGAGAAAGGTTTTTTTTCCCCCAACTTCCTTATGTTTATTACAAAGTCACCAGGTTTTTTCACTCCTGTTTTGTACGGTTTGGGGAAAAAGGTAGGTAACAGTCAAGTCACAGTTGGGCCATTCAATGACTTGCAAACTGTTCTATCTCCTTATTTTTCAGAACAAATATATACAATATCTAAATCTGTCTTTTTATATACAGGCACATACTGTAGTTATAGCTTAATTAAAAGATTGTTGAAATTTTAGCATATGGTAAACAATTTTTGTGTTGCTGTGGCTGTTTTATAGAAAAAAAGAAATTGGATTTATCAGACACTGACCATTTTATATAAAATATATATTTAGCTTCTGAAAATAAGGGGGTTGCTGTACTGTTGCAGATATAGTAAATTCCCATCTATTGTGAAGCAATCTACAGTGATAGAAAGTTGTAAAATCTTAGAGGCAGCTCATTTTTTTCCTTCATTTATCCTATACGTAGTCTGATTTTTGTACAGGTACTCCTTGACTTACAACCATTTATGTAGTGACTGTTCAAAGTTACAACAACACCGAAAAATTGAGTTATGACCGTTTTTCACATTTACAACCATTGCAGCATTCCCAAGGTCCAACTGACTCATACTTATGACCGCTGCAGTGTCCTGAAGTCATGTGATCCCCTTTTGCAACCTTCTGATAACCAAAGTCACTGGGGAAGCCAGATTCATTTAACAACCACGTTAGTAACTTAACAACTGCAATGATCCACTTAACAGCTGTGGCAAGAAAGGTCATAAAATGGGGCAAAACTCACTTAATCAATGTCTCGCTTAGCCACAGAAATTTTGAGCTCAGATTTTGTGGTTGTAAGCTGAAGGACAACCTCTACTCAGATATAAACAAAGACCCAAACGTCCTTCTGACATATGTACTGTACTACCCAACCAGCTTACAGTCTTAACACCTTTCAGGAAGTTAAATTTCATGCAGCCTAGGAGAGCATTGTTAAGTATTTTAAAAAATAAATAAATACACTCTTCTAAAGGAAGGGAAAAGTGATGCCAGAGGTAATTGGCAAATCAGTAATATGGAAGCTTTTGGCAGAAGGATAAAATCCCCATCACCCCATCCCCATAAGTGTCGAGCTCTTGCCTCTCATTCAGGAGGCGGTGATTTCGATCCTAGACAGAGGCATATTTTTCTCTCTCTGGCCACACTGAGAATATATCTGCTGAACAAAACTCCGTAATGGCGTCAGGAAGGGCATCTGGCCATTAAAACACTCTGCTAGCTCCATTCAGTTGATGACAGATAACAGATAATCAGAGTTGGAAGGGATCTTATAGGTCATCTAGTCCAACCCCCTGCTCAAGCAGAGGGCCCTACACCATTTCTGACAAATGGCAGTTCAATCACTTCTTGAAGGTCTCAGGTGATGACAATCCCACAACTTCCGAAAGCAAAAACTGTTCCATTGGTTGATGGTTATCACTGTCTCCTTATTTCCAGGTTGAACCTCTCCTTGTTCAATTTCCATCCATTATTCCTTGTCTAGCCTTCTGGTGCCTTGGAAAATAGCTTGACCCCTTCCTCCTCTCTGTGGCAGCCCTTCAAATATTGGAAGACTGCTATCATGTCCCCCCTGGTCTTCTTCACTAGACTAGCCACGCCCACTAGACTAGCCAGGTCCTGTAACCATTCTTCATATGTTTTGGTCTCTAGTGCCCTAATCATCCTGGTTGTCCAGTGGACTCAGGGCCACCACACCTCTGGGGATGGGGTGATGGGGAACTTAATCATCCTGGTTTGCCCAAATTCCACCTCTGCAAGGGATTATGGTGTTGTTAAATGAAGATGATAAAATTCCCATCACAATCTTACATTGCAAGCTCTCTACTTTGGGGTGAATATGCCACACTGCAAACATATGAAAAGGGGTGTGACCAAAATCAGCATGAGCCACGCCCCCCATGGATGCTACAGAAGGAAAACGATCGTGGTATGTGATGTTTTATTATTTCAGGGGCTGATGTTTTCTTCTGGTGTGTTATTTCATTAAAAAAAAAGTGCTTAAGGACAAATCGCAATTCTTAACAGATCAGGA